TCCAGTTGTAAGAAGTGCAGAACACGTGAATTATTATAAATCCCTTCCGCATGAACGAGAACCTTATGAGACTTTACTCTTTGCTACGACTAAAAACAATTTAATTTAGTTTTATAAGCATTAACAAGTTTTTTTTTGAAAGTAGGCTGATTATTAATTTTGTTATGTTTGCAATTAAAAGGAAATTTTGTTTGTTTTGCATGAAGGATTTTTTCAGTTTGAAATACAGTAAAGTTTGTAATTCTTTTACCAAATTATATTTACTTATTTATTTACTTTAAGAAGGTTGTTGTCTTCCTTTATCCAGTATTTTAATTGTGAATTTCAAGTTCTGAAACCGTTTTGTTTTGTAAAATTGGATTATTCATAATTATTATTTGTCATTGTAATAATATTCATACATATTCTTATTCTCTATTCTATGAACTATATTCATATTCCCCTTAATATCTCGGGTAAAAATACATTTATTTAATGTAACTATAGTGCCAATCTCTCTGGCGTAAGTGTTTTAATATGTTCCCAATCACAAAGTGACGTAACTGCAATGTCATATACAAAAAAAAATTCCCCATAAATAGTATACATTTTTGTCATAAATTGACAGCAAAGTGAGACTAGACATCTTTAACTATATATTAAAAAATAAAGGTAGATATTAGCTTTTAAAAAATCCAAGGTATAGGCCTACAGAGTTGATAAAAACGCTTATTTTTGCTTTGGTCACCCTGTAAAGTAAGGGTGTTACAGGTACGCCACTTCGTGTTTGGGCCGATTTGAGACACGTTCTGTTTCGTGTAGGATGAAGGTGATGTCAATGAGAGGGGAAATGGACACTGGTTAAGGAATCAATGTCTTGCCATCTCATCCGAATTCCACGCAATCCTCTACCCGCAAACTAGTGCTACCTCGTCAAAAAACCTTCACCTGACAGGTCTAAAAACTATTAAACCTGATTACTGCATAAAGGGTATGCTAGGTATTTGAATGTTACAAGTGCAGATGCACCTACAATCTTAAAAAGTGTTAAGAGAGTTTCAAATTCTCTGGTAATTATACCTTTTTTCTTGAACCCATTGTCAATTGTCTTTATCGCTCTTCTTTTTTCGTTGTGTGTCAACGTCTTACACTTATACTTAACTGATGACATGACGTCTGACACACACAAAATAATCTCAATAACTGGCAGACTAACACTACCGGCCATTTCCAAACAAAGGAAGTTGGATTTATATGTTTTGACATGAATCAAAACGCAGATGATCAAAGCACTGTACGACAAAATTTGAATTATGAGGTTGAGTATTACTAATCTAAAACCATTAAAATTCTACTTATCTGGGTTAAATATTTAAACCTTTGACTTATAGAGGTACTTTTAACATTGTGATTCATAGGGATTATAAAAAAATAAGATATTTGGAGTTATTGAGGTCCTACTATAGCAAGACAGGGTAACCACCTTGGTTTTCAGAGGTGTCACATGAACCATAGATTTGGGGGGGCACATACAGGACACCATCCTACCGGGGGTTCTAAGAGGTATGGAAGACCCCCATACTTGGTTTTAAAACTTGTAAGTAGAGTAACCACTTTAAAAAGTAGATTAAATGTGTTTTTATTTGGATTTTTTGTACTATTTTTGAGGTTTATTCCCAGTTTTTCACGGTTATGTACTTGTATATTTTTGACGTTGGTAAGGGTCAAGGGTCTTAAGCCGACTGCAGTTCGTCGTAGCAGACTCTAGAGAAAAACGTAGCACTGTAGGGAGACCGCAGCAATGTTCCTGACGTTGCCTCGTGTAGTCGACAGTCTCCAGCAAAATTTTATGAAATTCCATTCCTGGCCAAGTTAAGATAGAAGTTAGGTGCTAGAGCAGGTCAAAGTTCAAGCGGAGCCAAGACAAAAAGTTGACAACTGATTGAGCACCAAGTCAGAAAATAAGCTTTTATTCTCACTATATTGCCACTACAGTGTTCACACTATTTTTTAGGAATTGATTCCCCTGACCAAAGGTCAACATTTTCCCTGACTCTCGACTCGCTATGTACACAACTTATAAGGAATGAAAAAAAAACTTGTTTAATCAACCTCCACAATCCCCATAGCCGGCAATGCTCTCGTTTTCATTAATTTAAAACATTTATTTTAATACACAAAACATAACAGTTTCTAATTAATACATAGGCTAGGCAACTGTAACAATTTTACTTGAATACAGTATCTACTAACAAGAAATATTTAATGTAAATACATAATAATGTACCGGTGATTAAAACATTTTATTTAAATACATAATACGTTACTTTATTGGGCCAGTTTTACAGAAATATTAGGTAAACTGGCGCAATTCCCATTGGTGGAAGAGTTTAGTGGAACACACGGAAAACCAATACGTACTGCACAGTTTAGTTACGGGCCGGAAGGTTAGTTACTTTGATTACATACTAATAGGCCTAACTAAAAAACTAAATACCCAAAATCCAATTTGTTGAAACTTAGTATTCAACAATAAACTCAGACAATTCAAGAACACAGACAATCTAGTCAACATTTTTATAGGGTCTGAACTCTGAACGAACACGCGCAAGAATTAAGGTTAATCTGGTTTCTCTAACACAGCAGACTATCTAACAGCAAATTGGTAATTTGACGCCAAAACTGGAAACAAATATTGCTTAGAAATGTAGCAACCAGGAATATTTCACAAAATTGCATAAAACTATACAGGTACCGGTAGCCTAAACTACAGTTTTTTTTTTATGGAGCCCACTTTCACAAGAAGATTTTTCTCCAGAGAGAAGTTGTAGTTTTTTATCATCGCAGTAACTTTTGTGAATCTTAAAGCCAAAACTAAAAAATTCCCTGACATTTTATTAAAAAAACCACGTTTTCCCCTGACTTTCGGAATTCTTTTCCGAGTGTTCCCTGACTTTCCCTGACCTTTTCCTAATTCCCTGACTTTCCAGAAAGTGTGAACCCTGCACTATTGAAGAAAGCATTTGCAAAGATTGTGTGACTGTAGGAGAAATTGACGATTTAGCCACAATTACAGAAAACATGATACCACAAATATAGTAGTTCTATTTATTTATTTTATTACAATGCTACAAGACATTTTGGACATCAACATTGTTACAAAAAATTGATGTGTGTAATAGATTTTGTGATCAAGATTTACCACAATCGCAGAAGACTATGATTATTTTTCCACAAATGTGGAACATTAGGTGTCCGTGATTTTGTGCAATTACAGAAGGTGATGATGATTTTTCTGTGACCGTAGATGTTTACAATTTTGCTGAGAAAGCATAATAGAATGATTAAGGACTACGTACAATATTTTACAATAGAACTAAAATACTTTTTTGCAATCCACTACAAACCAAATTTGAAGGCTGCTCAAGCCTTAATGCCCTTCACAAAGTCAATCCACATCAAACATCATCAAAACTGTTCTGAATTAGTTTCATATTTGTTTGTGTTCAAGTTGTGGCATAGTCCTGCACCTAATGAATGTGAGGGGTTTTACTGTAGACCTATTTTCATTTCTTTAGTTATAAATCTATTTTTAAAACTTTAAATCTGCCATTTTAAAAATTGAATGGTAGGCCATACCAGAAACTAATATGAGAAAAGACATTTTGTGACCTTTGTTTTATTAAAATTAATAAATACAGCAGACTCTCCCTCTCTTATCCGGACTCCTCGGGACCGAGGCCAATCCGGATAACGGGTTTTCCGGTTAAACCGACGTCCTCAAAAACTTGTTAAAACGGACTGCTTACTGTGATATTCGACTTAAATTTAGGAGAGCATTGTATTTAGACACGTGATCACTGGTCTCAAATCTTTCCCACGAGAACAGTCGTTTCAGTACTGCCCACTTCCTGCCGATCTAGTCCGGTTAAACCAATGTGCTGATAAAAATTGTCCGGTTAAAGACATGCCACATCCGCCGAGTGTAGTCCGGTTAAAAGGTGTCCGGATAAGAGGAAGTCTACTGTATCTTCAAATTAACTGATTTTATAATAATAACAAACTTTACTGGTTAGTTTTAAATTATTTTATATCTGTATGTATATTCATCACAAAGTTAATGTTAGACTTTTATAATTCGGGTAAATGTAAACTTGGCAGCCAAGGTGAAAAAAGATATGGCAGATGTTAAACTTTCTTTCTATGAATATGGACACACTAGTATATGGTTACCAATTACAAACTCTTTATTTAACAGGAAATTGAACCACAAAAAAAAAAGAAAAGCGCAAAAAATAGGGATGTTGAGAAAGAAACTTAAAATCTTGTGGAACTGAATTACGATTAGTATTATTATTTTGGTACATGAACATACATAAGTTAACACATGGCTGTAAATGAACAAAAAAGGGTTAATTTCCTGAGTACATGCCATGTACATTTAGGCTAAAAATATGAACAACTGGATTAGGTACATTTTTAAATAGCATAAAAAATTATTCTCCATAGAAATATTTAAACATTTCATGAGAAACCCGTCTTATGTGAACATTTGTTATCCCATCACATTGAAATGAGTCTCAGCAGAACACATAAAACGGTCAATACTTTACAATATTACAAGTATTAAGGAACGTTCATATGACAAAGGCCTACAGAGAAAACTATGTTTTTAGTAAATAAAACACAACATTACACATATAAAAAATATACAGCAGCGCAAGAAGTAACTCGTGTTCAATCTACGATCGGTACTTTATAAACAATTTATAACCACTTAATATTAACAGAATATTCACAATCAATGGTACCTACAGGTCCACTGTTACTAAAAATTGAATGATAGTCTACGACATAAATAAAGAATAAAAACTTCATCAGTAGGCTATTCCTTACTACTAATGGTGTATCACCCAATACCTATATCTTTCCAACTTATCCAGCGTTTTTTATTCTACAATGCAAGTTGCATTACCTAATATGTTCTTGATCAGAAAATAATTTGTAAACAGAAGAGCTACCTGTGAAAATCACTGCCTGTTCCGGGTGGCTTGTCTGGTCGGTTTCTTTGATTGTTTCGCTCCTCACGATTCTCAGTATTAAATCTACGTTCACGTTCAGTTCTTGGAGGTCCTTTAGGTTTCACGTTCTCTGTAAAGAAAACAATGACATCAAATGACTACCTACCTGATTGAGTTATGCCTACTGTATCTTATTTAAATGTTGATCTTACTTTATCTACACTAATGAGGAGGGCTATGAAATTGGGGCTGGACACATCGTCACACAATAAAGGAGAAAAATGATGGGAGTATTTTGAGGATAGGCTACATGTGGTTCATCATTGTGTTACGCTTCTTCTCCCAGTATATTGGCAGACATGACCAGCCCAACACAATATTTAATATCCTAAGACGGTAAAGATAGTTCAGCGCACAAATGTTTATATTAGTCGATGATCAGTGTCATGATCAATACCAAATAAATCTATCGTCGACACAAAACCTTGCCTATGACCCAAAACTGCAAGTTTAAATACTTCTAATACTTAAATACTTATAAACCCTACTTTAATAAGAAAAAAAACAAAAGGCCTGGAGATAATCAACTACAAATACAAAAGAAAAAGTATGTACGTGTGAAACACTCCCATTCCATTCAACACACGCTCAATAAAGAGCTGAAGAAACACGACATTCAATTGACTATTATAACTAACAACAAAACAATTAACAATTTGAATGTTTCAAGTAACGTAGCAGATAAAGGTGAAAAGTCAGGTGTTTACAAAATTAATTGTGCAAGTTGTCTGAGCTTCTATATAGGAAAGACTGGTCGTTCATTCAAAACCAAATACAAAGAGCACCATCCATTTCCTAGAGTCGACAAACAAAAGTCATCACAAAAATCACGATAATGAACGCTCTGAACACTGGATTAGAAATACTCCACACAAGTAAGAAAGGCAATAGACTGGAGACCCTAGAAGAGTACAAAATATACAAAGCTTACACCGAAAATAATTTTGATGATATAATTTAAACGACAAACTACAGCACAAATCACATTTTAAATTCAATAGTATTTTAAATTAGAATAGGAACCCGAAGCCAGGAGTACAAAGTTCAAATGATAATGCCACCACACCGGGCACAACATAAGAACCCTCCAGTCGGTGTCTTGCTCGGACGGGAACAACATCTACCAGTACAGTTTCTAAGACAGGCCTGATTGTTTTTGTAAATTTTATTCATAATAATCGTACGTGTGTTATGTGTTCTAACTACTACGACACTACTTCAGCCGAAATTTCGTTATATGACGATGGCATTGTAATGCCGAACTGGCCGTAACCAACCAGATACAACATTTGAGCTGGATTGACGAAGGTAAAGCCTATTTTTAGTTAAGTTAAGTTATAGCTCAGGGGCTAAAATATGGATTTTAATTTAAACAATTCCCTCTTTAACACTAAATCCCTATAACAGAACTTCCCCTAACTAACTCTGCAAAGACCTAACCTCGACAAAGTAACCAGTACTCACCCAACACACCTCTAGGCACCCTGCCCCGGCCGACTGACCTCTTTCCCTACCTCAGGTGGTCTACTTATTGAACTTGACAGCTACTGAGTGCAAAGGCCTCAATGTTTACATAAACAACTCCAGCTCGCTTCCCAGCTTGCAAGGCCTGACGACAGGACATCAGTACAGCTTGCCTAGCCTAGCCTACTATCCATTACCCTATCATAAAACATGACATATAAGATTATTTAGTTTCCATTTTGTAGCCCCTGAACTGTGTAGTATAGACAAATTACTGAAACACACAGTAAAAATTTGCCCAACAATTTATCACACACCTACTGTTTTGTTTCAAAGTTAAAATTCACCATTGTTCAACTAAGCCCATTCTAAGAACTTTCAAATAAAAATAATCAAGGTTCTTTTCATTTTACTTTAAGTTTGTAGGGGAAACCCTGATGTTTGTGTTACTTTGTGTTGACTTATACCGCGATGCATTCTAAGCATCCAAGGAGGATGTAGACTACAACTCCATAAAACTATTAAACGTGGAAGCCAACCAGTTTCCTGGCCTGCATCAAAGGTGTTACACATTGTAATACTCAATTAACTATCTCTCCGCAGGGTCCGCACTCAAAAATAACTAGACCTGTGAAATATATTATTAGGTAGATAGACCTACTGCTTAAGAATAAGACCAAAAACAAGACACAACTTATATATTACATTGCTACTTTGTAAATTAATAAAAGTTGTGTTCACATTGATGTTAAATCAAATCAAATCAAAATAAATTCTTTATTTGTAGTTTCGTCAAGAAATTACAATGGTGTCATATTATGTGGAGCTTAACAGCATTTAATGTTGTTTATTTCCTCTTTAAGGCTATTTGATACAATCTACAACAAGTACGCTAATGTATTTGCATACTCTTTGAACTCTTAAGTATATTCATCAATCAAATTCCAGTTCCTATTTTAAAAATTTCTCCCACATCTTAAACATGAAAATTTTATTCCTGAAAGGTAGCCTAAGATTCCTTCAACATAAAGGATCAGGCCTAGTTAGGCCTACTTATAAAGCAGATGAATGCTTTGATCAGATAGTGCAACTCGGAAAGATGTAAGTTAACTTATACCAACCTGTTAATTTCCACTCAAGCCATCCACCGCTTAATAGGCCTATACTGTATTGCATCTCCCACCGAGTTCTAGTCCAATAAATGTAGCCTAGGCTTAAGATCCTCACCAGGTGCATACAAAACCTTAAACTATTCCAAATATGAATCCATCCTCAACCTATGGTGCCATCACCTGGCAAAGGAGACAACAATTTAACACGTTTGTAGCAGAGTTCTAGTCCAATAAATGTAGCCTAGGCTTAAGATCCTCACCAGGTGCATACAAAACCTTAAACTATTCCAAATATGAATCCATCCTCAACCTATGGTGCCATCACCTGGCAAAGGAGACAACAAATTAACACGTTTGTAGCAAAGTAGTGTCGATATCTAGCAGGAAAGAGGTGGGATAAAGCCCTGTTCTAAACGACCCTGGTGATTTGGGAAACTATATTTTACTGTCAGAAAAGAACATCCCCACGAGCTGCAAAGAAATAGGCCTTATATGACGCTCGTGACGAGCTGGCTGATCCAAGATAACGTTAAACAACAATGAACGGCGAAGTTCCAGAACATTCCTAGCTCCTGGCGCCGTGGCCCGTTTGACGTTCCGGAACGTCCATAGCAGCGAACGTGTTAAGCAGCTCAGCTGCAGTGCACCTAAGGCCGGGTTCACACGAGCAATACATCTAGCTGTGACTAGCATTTGCCGCGGCCCTGCGACACACCAGTTCACATGAGCGACAAGTCCACAATTAGATCGAATGCGTTACATATCCTAAATGAATAAACATCGATTAAGGCAAGGATGCGAGCTGCAGCGCTTCGACCGACTGCACGTGTAACACTCTCATACATGGCTACATGTAAGTAACTGCTACGCCGAAGAGCTAGTGGACTAGCTAGCTGTAGGACCACTTAGCTAGGAAGCAGACTGTGGCGATAGTTTGCAAACAAGCTCCATCGTAGGCCTACACGTACGCTTGTGTGATCGGTCCACTACACCATGCCTGCGTCCCAGCCTAACAGCTAGATGTGTCGCTTGTGTGAACCGGGCCTAATGGTTAATCTGGCTGTGACAAGCACTAGGCCCTATCACTGACATCTTAACTCGTCTCCTGAAGGTGTGGCTAACTTAGTTCAATTTAAATTTACAAAAACCCTTGCTCTATAGGCTAGGTCTGTCTTAATTTTTTTTTAAACTTTGTCATTTTTTTAAAAAGGTAGGCCTGGGTCTAAGTCTGCTGGCTTCCTGGATTAAGCTATAAAACACAGAAATGAAATTTATATACCTACAAAAAATGCTAGCCTAAGTTATAAGTTATGCTATGATGGGACTGAGTTAGCTAAGCAAAATAGTTCACATGGTCAACCTGTGTAATTCTTAAAGGAATTTGACTGATAGAACTAGTTTAGTAATACTCAAAGTGGCTATTCCATAGCGATTGTGAAGAGTAGTAAACTTAGGCCTACAATCCTAAAATTTGACGGAAAACACATGATTGTAAATAGATAGAACTTTTGACGATAGGTCTCTTAATATTTTTAACACAGCATAGCTTATAGGCCTACCTAGGCTTGCTTTTAACCCTCCGAGTGTTATGTGTCGAAAAATCGCTTTGTGTAGTGTTTTGTGTCAATTTTTCGACTCACAAACACTGTTTACGGCGAAGGCTCTATGACTGACAAAATCGGATTGAACTGGATCGAGTTATGTATCGTTTTATTTGGCAGATTCTAAGCTTTCTCCCGAGGTCTGTCTCTAAGCGCTTTTTTTCCCGAGCCGATCATAATTGTAGCAGACAGCTGACGTGCCTATTTGTAAACAGCTTGGTTTTAAAACCTCGCACCGATGACTGATGTAATTTTTACGTTTATCATTGTTTTAGTGTTAAAAATCAAAAGTAGTGATAGGCCTATACGTGATGCATTATAGGTAAGAAGATTTAAATGATTTTGAAGGGCTGGTTGATGATGATCCTGAAGAAGTAGGTAGTGATATTGATGTAAATTATCAGCCAGATTCCTAGCTATGGTTAGGCTATGCATTCTTAGCTAAACGCTAAGTTATGTACTGAAATCTGTTTTTTGCCCATAAGTAACTTATTTATTTGCAAATCTACTTCCTTATATTGTTATATATTTGTAATTCTCATAAAATTTAGAACAAAGTGGCTATTTTCAAATATTTATAGGCCTATAATTTATACAATTTCATTGAGCACGAACTTATTATTTTTTTTTTTCCAAATTTTTTTAGAAACAAATGTTCATTAGGCCTATGTTTTATATGTATAATATTGAAGCCCGTGATTTTCCAAACAAAATGGTAGGCCTATATAGAACAGTAGGCCTATAATTAACATTGTTTTTAAGCTTCTCAGATCCGTTTTAATAAAACCTTGCAAATGCGCAAAAAATAGGCAAACATTGAGGCCAAAACTAGGGACACTCGGAGGGTTAACAGTTATCCCCAGACAGGTAACTTCTGATAGGCCTAGCTCACATAAGGTACCTAGTGATAGGGCTATCAAAGGCCAACATCATCCATATTTTGAATAAAAATCCACTGAAAGTAGCTTACATAACAGGAGATTCTCAAGACAAAGTTATCGGGGCTTTAGAGGATGAGAAATAGGTAGGCCTAGGCCTAGGTTTCACACAACAGGGACCACATGGTGTTCCTATTTCATTCCTGCAGTGTTAAGAAATTGTCAGTAGAAGATATAGGCCTTCGGCCTATTTTGAAGCATCAATCAAAAATCTATTAGCCTAGTAAAATATAAACTAGGCTTGCTCCCAGGCGATGATTATCAGTGTTAACATAGAACAATAAAAGCTTTGATAGGACCCGGACTAGGCCTACGTCTTAACTTATTCATTATTTTTATAACAAAACTTTAATTTCGCTAAAATATATCTTAGCACTTACCATCTTTCACTTTATGTTGTTGATCTTGGGACTTAATGTTCTGAGTTTCTTTGATTCCTTTCCTTGAAGCAACAGCAGGTTTTCCTTTGATCTCTTGCTGCTTGCCCTTGTTTTCTTTTTCCGAGAGCTTGGATTTCTTCTTCAACTCTTTCTCTTGCTCTTGGGACTTAAGTACTTCTAACGGATCTTCATCTTCATTTAAAAACAATTGATACCGATTGGTAATACCTATTCCATAAAGATTCTCCATCGTAAAAGAAATTGGAGAAAGAAATCTGGCTGAGTAGCCCTCACGACTAATACTTCAATATGGCGGCAGACAACATGAAATGAAGACGGATGACAGTCAAAAAATGTATTATTTGAAGCACTATGGGTAGCCGGAAATACTATTTTACGAGAAAAAAAATACCAAAATGATTGAGGCTTATGGATATTGAAAAACAACATACTATAATATATTCCATGGGAAAAGGTGGGCTTGCTGGAGCTTGATTTATATTCAAAAATATTTGCGTATGGTGATGAAACAGCTCTTTTGTGCTTAGCTTTCAATAAAGGGTCACTCGCTTAAACTAAAAATAAGAAGAGATCTAGACAATATATATCAAATTGGCAGATTGAAACGGATTGTTAATAAACTCATTAAAGTCTAAATTATTATTTTTCTTCGACTATAATCAATCGCGAGAAAATTTACAAAATTAATTTAGCTTATTGTGCTATAAACTTATATTATCTTATACAGTACTTGTTCTTGCCAAAGTTTCCTCCTCGGCCGTTTTTAGACAGGTACTATAAATAGTGGAAAACATTGTTTCCATGCCCAGTTCCGAACAAAACTAGTTAGTTTTGTAGTTATTAAAAATAAAGATAAAGATTTTCGTACACCAACAAACTGTCCCCATGGAGAACAGGAAAAAATCTAAAACGAAGTCAGATTACTTTTATAAGCTAATAATAATGATAATAACACTCAAATACCCCCGTCGCAGCAAACCTGCATACTAAGCGAATTTCCATTTACCCGGCTTGATTTCTACTAAAATATTCCCTATAAATTTTCAGATTTATTTCCTATTTAAATAACATTAATTTTAGTGAGTAGTTAGGTTTGCTGCTACGGGGAAGATGTTGAGGTGTGTTTTTCAATTGAAATATTGATAGCTTAGCATGAAATAAACCAAATTGCCAAATTTGATTAAAATATATCCATAAACAAGCAAACTAGAACAGTTTATTTATTCTCCATAAGAATAACATGGGAATTTTAAATTTACAATTTTTTTAATTTTCTCCGTAGTCAATGAACATTCAAAAACACTTCATACTAAATTATTTGTTTTTTTAAGCTCTTCAAAATGGTGTAGAGAGAAATTTAGAAATTTAAAGTTTTAAGGGTCAAAAATGAGAAAAACCCATTTTTACCCCATAAAACCCCCCATAAACCCCTGATCCCATGGTCCGATTATGCTGGTTCGCGAACTCGTTCGAATAAATGTAGGATTACACGTTTGTACCAAATTTCATCAAAATCGGATCAATTTTGCTCGAGTTATCGCGCTAACGGACACATATCCCATGTAGCACAGATGGTTGGGCCAACGTTGGTAAATTGTGGAGCCACACAGTTGGCCAACGGTAGAAATGTCACCTCTTTAAACTGTTTTCCAGCCAACCATTGTCCAACAATGGCCCAACCATCCAAAAATACTAATGGCCAACTAACCATAACACAACTGATATCCAACCAACCGTTTTATTTCACACAAAATAATAAAGATTTAGTACGAAAAGCATAATTATTAGTTGAGTAAATTGATTAAATAGTTCATAAAAACAAATTTTGAAAAAAAGCTAGAACAATATTTTATGGCCCAGACGGGTCTCGAACCCGGGTCCTATGACTTATGAACCTCTTACCTTACCACTGAGCTATCTGTGATTGTTGATATAGAGAGTTTTCAAGTGGTGAAAGAGTAGCCGACAGTTGCAATAGTCCCAATACTTCAAACATTTTTGATACTACACAGTATAATATGATTCTGTTAATCTGTTAAGGCATCATAAGTAGTTATTATTTTTTTGTTTTGAGTTAGAGAGGATACTGGTATTTGAATATAGATTAATTAATTACCATTAGATTATTAATGCTATTATAATTGACTGTTACATGATTAATTACTCTTTCCCCTTAAATTGTTGCAAATAAGTTAAAGAATATTAATTTAAAAAATATTTGCATTATTATAATTATTAAAATTCATTGTTGTAGCCCCGGAACTGTAATATATAAAATATCTGGTTTTACAATACCTTTATCAGTTCCAAAAACTTTTGGAAACTTTTGGAACTGATAAAGGTATTGTAAAACCAGATATTTTATTATAATTATGTTGTGAAAGCTAGACCCAGAGAATGAAAGTCGTGTAAACTCAACTATGGACCATCGTTGGTCCAACAAAAGTATCTTTTGTTGGTCCAACGGAGTGAAAAACGGTTGGACAACGGTTGGCTTGATGTATGATACCCAGCAATTCATATTAATGTATTTCATTAACAATGAACCAATGTTAGTCCATAGTTGTAAATATTGGTTGGCCCAACTACGAGATATACAGTTGGACAACGGTTGGTTGGTTGTGGAAGCTTCAACCAACCATCGACCAACTGTCCCACAGTTGGCCAACGTTGGCCCAACCATCTGTGCTATATGGGATATAAATATATATATATATATATATATATATATTAAGAAAACTGTAGTGACTAGGGCTACTATTTTGATATATAAAAGCATTATTAAAAACTAAGTACCCTTTTTTTAATTCATTTTATTTAACAACTACTAGTTTCGGCGATTATGCCATAGTCATGTTGTTTTTATATCTAACAAATACAATAAACATTTTATCTAAATAATAAATACAATCATATGATTACATAGGTTTTGATGACTTTAGATTTCTTCTGTTTTAAATGGTCTTTATACTATATATAATAATTTTCTCTCTTAATTTAACTGCAGGATTTTTTCAAATATTGGATTGCATTTGTTGATGTTCATTTTGTTTAGTAAATTTTCTGGGTGTTGTTTATAGTTTTTGTAAATGTAAAAATCTTCTTTAACATGTAATTTTGATTTGTCTTTTTCATATTCAAGGATTTTTAAATTTTCGTGGATGCTTTTGTATTCATGGTCTGTTTGTATTAAATGTTCTGCAAAATTAGATTTCATTGTTGTGCGGTTTCCTGATTTTAATGCTTGAATATGTTCTTTGAACCGTTTTTCAAAAGTTCGACTTGTTTGCCCAATGTAGGATTTATCACAATTAGAACATTTGATTTCATAAATACCTGATTTTCTTATATTGTCTTGATTTTGGTTAGCTATATTTTCTTTTGAAATTTTGTTATTGATCATTTGAAAAGCATTATTCTTTGTTTTATAACTGATTATTACATTTGAACGGTTGAAAGTTTTTCTTAGGGCTTTATTAATTTTGGTATTGTACGGTATACAAATAAATTCTTTTCTCTTTTTGTTTTCTGTTCCTGAAGTAGTTCCTTGTGTTTGAAGTTTTCTCTTAAATTTCTTCTTAATCATGTTTTCAATTATAGATGGATTGTATCCATTTTTCACTGCCAAATATATAATAGTATTTTTTTCTTTGTTAAAGTTTTCAGTGGACATAGGAATATTTACAAGTCTGTGTGTTAACGAATGAAATGTTGCCAATTTATGTTGCCATGGATGATTAGAATGTGAAGGTATGATACTGTTTGTTGTAGTTGGTTTTCGGTAAATTTTAAATCTGTGAATGTGTTTTTCTTTTGAAATGGTTATATCTAGAAAGTTAATGTGTGAATGTTTCTAAAGTCATCAAAACCTATGTAATCATATGATTGTATTTATTATTTAGATAAAATGTTTATTGTATTTGTTAGATATAAAAACAACATGACTATGGCATAATCGCCGAAACTAGTAGTTGTTAAATAAAATGAATTAAAAAAAGGGTACTTAGTTTTTAATAATGCTTTTATATAGATATATATATATATATATATATATATATATATATATATATATATATATATGAATCTGAACGGATGGTGTTTTTGGCCTCTGGGGACCTCAAAATGAAAAAGAAAATCGGTCCCGGGTCTAGGTCTTACCATGAGACCTACGGTAATAGCTACTTCCCTATAGGAAAATTCGCTAAAAGAAGAGTCTAAAATAATTCTAAAAGTATCCAAAATATGTCCTCTTTGCAAAAAAGCATGTGTTTGAAGAGGAAGATGCTGTTTTTTGTGAAGGAAAATGTCTGACTTGGTACCATCGAGAGTGCATAGGCATGACTATTGATTGACCACTAAGATGACATCTCAGAAAGAAAAACTTCTTGGACTTGCCCCACATGTGAAGTATTTGTAAACACTTCCAAAGTCGATATTTTATTGCACAATTTGTCGCGGTCCATATAGGAAACAATGGAGTTGCTTTAGAAGAGCTGCCGGAAGTTATTGTAAATAGTTGTAAATATATGTTTTTGTTAAATAACCGTGTGATGTGATGCTGTCAAGTGTCAATCCCACATTGTCTTTGTGGGTAAAAGACGAATGAGAAGGATGAGGTATTAGTCAAGGTGACACACCTTACGTCCATACCTAGGCAAGCATAGTATATAGTAGTCTAATGAAATGAAATGAAATGCTTTTATTATTTTCCATTAAGCATGAAATACAATAGGCATCGTCAGAACAAATACGATATACAATTTTCATAAAAATTAAAACTAAAATGCAAAAATCACACAGCAAACAAAACCAAAAACAAACCATGCACAAAACTACTGTCAAAACATGCATTAACGACAGTCTTGAATGTGACCTGACTAGCATTTATAGTGACCTCGAGAGCAAACTGCTGGAAATTTGCAAAGTCAGACCAGTGTTTCTGTGCAGTGTACTAGCAAGATATGACAAATCTCTAAACCACCCGGTCAACCTGGATCTGTATATATTAAACAACTACTTAAGAGAGCTAAGCAATAGGATTGACAACCTCTTTTTAATAGATTTGGATGGACTGCAGAGATTTGATTTTACAACACACGGCCTGCACCTTAATAACAGAGGGAAGTCAAAGGTAGCGTTGTTAATTGTTAATGCTATAACTGACTGGTGCAAAAAGATTCAAGAGGCTACTTCAGCAAACAAAATGGAACTTGTTGAGGAAATAACAAACTCTGAGGACGCTGCTGTAAAAATACTGGAAGCTGATATGAAACAAATTATCAAACAAAACTTGAATAAGAAAAA